TACTAACAAGGCTTGGAAGATGCCCAGGCAGCTTCTCACTATGTTTCCAGTGATCTCAGTGAACGGTAGGAAGGCACAAAGGTTGGTATACTCTGGAGTAAATTTAGATGCAAAACTGTTTTGCATCCTTATTTCTCTGAGTAATCTGTTCCCTGCCAAGTTTTCTCCTTTATAGTCAGGGACCAACCAATTACCATGAAAATCAGATGAATAAATATTGAAGAGAATGTGTTCATTGCCTATTTTGGTGTCCTCACAGAAAGAATGTGATGTTACATTTTTAATTAAGTCTTTCATTTCCATTTTCTTTTTCAGCTAAAGCTGTCCTCCATAGGATCAATTTAACTAAATAATTAGATCCAACAAAAAAGCACCCCCCACCGAAGAAAAGTCATTAGTAGTTATGACTTGACAGATTTTCTCAACAATGCTACAAGTTTCTCCTCCAAAATTAAAATTGTATGGTGCACACAGCTTTGGGCATTGGCTCACTTGGAAACCTGGTTTAATCATATTTCTACCAATTTATACTCTCTTTATCTGCTACAGTATGATACTGATTTTTAATGTATAATAAATGTTATAGTAGTACACAGCTCTTTTTTAAGTCATTCTTTGATCTAAATTTTAGATACAGACTAAGTGATCATACAAACTCAATCATCTTTTCTATAAGATTACATATTTAGCTAGATTTTAGCTTTTTGGTTTTTTAAAAATCTAAAATTTTGAAGTGAAATATTTGTATTCTCATAGAATTGCTTGGGTATCTTCTCCCCAATTTCCTTTTAGATAACCACAACTGAACTATTAGTTTATGCAAACAGGAAGAAGTCTGAGCTGATTCTACCTCGAAAAACCTGTTTCTCATTCTATGTATGCTAGTAGCATGTGACCTTTAGCACCCTGTCACCTCCACAGGCTCTCAACTATGAACCTGTAAAAATGCAGGCCAATCTTGGTGTTCGTTCATCAAATGCTTGTGAAACACCTGCTATGTGCCAGGCAGTATTCCACATGTTGGGCGTGTGGCACTAAACAAATTTGCTACCCTCATGGAAAGTACAGTCTAGTGGAAGAAAGGAGCCAAAGGATGAACAAATTAACAAAGAAACAATGTTTGTTTGTGGTAAGTGCTTTAAGGCAAAAATAAATCAGAACACAGAAACAGGGAGGGTAGAGGGGATCCTATTTGAGATAAAAAGTTTAGGGAAGGCTTCTCTGAAAAGACTTCTCTAATGTGTAGGAAGCACAGCTCCTCTTAAGAGATGAGTATAAACCCCATGAATATATACAAGCAAAGTTAGCAAAGACAATGAAGACGGGTTTTACTCTGAACAGAGACGCAACAAAATCCTAAATAAAACATTCGGTGAAGAAATCCAATCATGTATTTCACAAGAACCAAGGCAAGGAGAAGCAGAGTTTATGAGTATATGACAGGATCACAGCATCAGAAAAATCTAGCTGTGTAATTCTCCATATTAAAAATGTAAACACAACTGTTATCTCAAAAGATGCTGAAGAAGCAGTTGATAAAGTTCAACACCTATATATAATCAAAGTAATTAAATAATGCCTGTAAGTTCCATGAGAGCAGAGATTTTCTTTTTAAACCAATTCATAAACATATTCCAGCTGCCAAAACACAACATCTGGATGTAGCAGGCATCCAGTACATATTTACTGAATGAATGAATAAACGATGAATGAAATCCTTTAGGATAATCACCCAAAAGATAATCTCCCCAAAGTCTACTGCAGCCAGTACAATCATTCCATTTCAGGTTTGGAGTGGACAAGGACACACTCCCCTGGTCAGCCTCTGTAGGCAGCCCTAGTTGGAGCAATGGGCTGAGAATGCCATGTACGGGTGAGGCTTGGAGAGAAGGAGGTGAAACTGTCCATGTCTGCAATGGCAGGACCAACGTTCCAGTAAAACTACTGGAAGAAGTAAAATGTCCAGGCACAAGGTCATACCACATTCCTCTGTCTCTAGCAATAATCACTGAGAAAAAGAAACTCAAAATAATATGTCACTTACAACAGGGACTAAAACTAGGTACTGTAGGAAATAATCTAACAAAGGAGGCAGAAGAACTTTCTGGGAAGAATTTGAAAACTCTACCAAAAGACATCTTAAAAACTGAGTTACTGGAGACTTATGCCATGTTCATGGCTGTGCTGATCTAATACAGAAAAATGTCTGTTCTTCCTCAAATTAATATATATACATTGAATGCAAGCCCTATCAAAATCCCAGTACCTACTGTTGCTGACTTGAAAACTTGATTCTAAAATCAGTATAAAGAATAATATATATCTGAAGCTAGGTAAAAGAGTTTAGAAAAAGGAGAATCAAGAGGAAGGACTCATACCACCAGAGGTTAAGAGAGTTTCAAAGCCATAAGGATGGGAACAGCATGGTACTTACACAAGAACTAAACAGTCAGATCAGTAAAACAGAATCCAGCATCCAGAAACGGACCATGATGCAGGGAACTCAGTATGTTTTAGAGGGAACATCAGGACAGCAGAGAAGAGGTGAATGCTTTAGTAAATGGTGACAGAAAAACTGGCTTACTATCTGGAGATTTAAAAACATGTTGGGTCTTGGCAAAGCGTGGTGGCTTACGCCTGTAATCCCAGCACTTTGGGAGGCCGAGATGGGTGGATCACTGGGGGTCAGGATTTCAAAACCAGCCTGGCCAACATGGTGAAATCCAGTCTCTATTAAAAATACAAAAACAAACATACATATTTAAGTATATATATGTATATATATGTATGTGTGTGTATATATACATGTATATATATATATATATATATATATATATATACACACACACACAGACATATATATATATATTGGGTCTTGATCTCATTTCATATTCAAAAGTACCTTCAGTTGGAATTCAAGCCTACATGTGAAAGATAAAACCATAAAGCTAACAGAAGAAAATATATATTCAAATACAGTATATTTGTGATTTGTGGGGGATAGAAACTTTAGAAGTCAAAACCATCAACCACAAAGGGGAAAACTGATGGATTCAGGTGCATTCCATGAAAGACTTCTATTAGATGAAGAATATCACAGACAAAATTATCAGATAGATGAAAAAAGCAAGAGAATACATATGAAAATTCTATTGCTGGAAACCTCAACAAGAAAGCACAATCAGAAAGTCAAAAGAAAAACATGGAGAAAAGGTAAGAACATAAAATTTACAGGAAGAATCTGCTAATTTGCTAATGAAGTGCAACCAAAGAATTGCAAATCAAACAATGAGATATTCCCTTTCTCCTTACTCCCACAAACTAGCAAAACTAGAGACTCTCTCAAGGAAGATCAAGGATGTCGCTGGTGTGCGTCTCAGTAGCCCAGCCATTCTGAAAGCAAACGCAAGCCCTAGTGAAATTCAGTGTATGTGTACCTTGTGACCAAAAGTCCACTCTTGGCTCCTGTCCCAGAGAGACCATCCCCAGGTACAGATAAAAATCTGCAGGAGAGTTTGTAGCAGCTTAGTCATCCTTCTCAAGAGCACTCAGTGACTGACACGTGGACTGCGTAGGTGTTGGCCCCAGGCAGCCCACTGCAGTAATGAGCTGATAAACAGAAAGCACCATGGACAGATCTCAACAACCTACACGGTGGTAGAAAAGGAAGAAACAAAATGGGATTTGTTGAACAATATCATGTTTGCAAACTTCGTTTTTCTTTTTTTACTTTTCTTTCCTTTTTTTTTTTTTTTTTTTTTTTAAACAGGGTCTTGCTCCATCACCCAGGCTGGAGTGCAGTGGTGCAATCACAGCTCAGGGCAGCCTTGACCTACTGGACTCAAGTGATCCTCCCACTTCTGCCTCCTGAGTAGCTGGGACCACAGGCAGTCAGCACCGTGTCTGGCTAATTTGCAAATTTCTAAAAGGCACACACACAAAACATATGTTTTCTCAGAAGTATATATATGTTTAAAAAGACACTAAAGAAGGTGGATTGGAAGGATAATCATTACAGTTATGGGGAAGTGGCTGCCTCCGTGGAAAGGGAAGAGGACCTAGCTCCTGGCTGGAGGTGGGAGGTGACTGCTTCCACAGAGACAGAAAGAGGAACTGTTCAGAGTGCCAGGAGTTGAGACGTTCAGGCAACTAAATCTTGGCACCTGAGGTAATAAACCATCTCAGGTAACACCCCCACACCCGACACATGCAGTTTAATTGTGTTCTAGTCCAACTGAAGACAAAGGCTTCATCCCTCTGTCAATCAGAAAATGCCACGTTCTTAACTCCTATTAAATAACTCTACCCCCCTTTGTTGTTTTCACTGAATAAAAGGTTTTAAACAATCCTGGAATTTCACTAAATTGTTAGGTTGATTCAACTGCATGTATTAAACTTAGCAATTCCTGGGCTATGCCCCAGGTAAAGTCGAATGTGTTTATTGACAGGAAGTTGGAAAATTCAGCCAAACCTATAGGATTATTCAGATAGAGCTGTAGTGCCAGGGATGGCCAACATCACTAGGCGTTACTTTTCTAAATGGGAAAAGAGACTAAGCGATGGGGATTCATTTACTGATCATCACATTTTACAGCCTTAGAACAAAATCCTCAGTGATTCAACTTTTCGAGTTAAGTATTTGAGATAAATATTAAAAGCCTAGGAGCGTGTACTTCCTTGTCTACTAGGAATTTGTTTGGAGAGAAAATCCTCTCAGTTTCTATATTTATTTACTTTAAAGGACATAAAAAGGCTGTCAGCCTAGGCCATAAATCTAAAAGTGCCAAAATTCTAAAACAAATCTGGGGCCCTGACTATTGGCTCCTGGCTCCTGGCTCTGGCCTGAAGACAGGAGTCATCTGACCCTGGGCTCCCCTGGATGACTCAGTAGGCACTTGTGGATAGAGGTGGGAATGTGGAGGGCAATTGACAAAGTGGAGGCTGTTTAAGGCAGGTCTGCACCCATCGGCAGGTCCAGCCCCACCACCCTCGGTGCTCACCGTGCCTTCCGGGTCCACGAGCAGCAGGTGCTTGGCCTGGCCGTTGTGCATGCCCGTGAGGACGAAGGAGCCTGGATTAGTGGTGCTCTTCCTGACCAGGAAGTCTCCATCTTTCTCCAGCAGCCCCTCTGCCTCCTTCCTGCTCATCTCTCCTTGGTACCAAGTCTCGGCTCCCAGCTCCTCCAGCATCTTGGCATCCGGGGCTCTGGGTGACACAGGGCTGATACACTCCACAGAGGCTGCCTTGCTCAACATGGGCCCCAAGGGTTGGTTCTTGAGAGCATCTTCAAAAGGTTCTGTCATCAACAACATTGACCAGCAACAAGTCAATCCCAAGAAGAGCAAATGATAAAAATAAAATACAATGAGAGAGATAGAAATGCAAAGGCAACTCCTCTGGAACAGGAAAACAAAGACCACTGGAGAAAAGTAACTGGCTGGTAATATAACAAGAGCCATCATAACAAGCATTGAAAAGCACAGCCCAAATTTTGGCATGACTTTCTGATGAGTCTGCCTTCCCAGGACAGCTGGGAGTTGTGCTGTGTGCCAAGGAGTCAAGCACACCCTTTGTATAGCTGGTTGGACTGACTTCATTTTTGCATGCTGCAAGAGGCCATGAATATCACATGCCGTGTACTTTCTCTGGAACTTCAGCCAGCCTCTTTAACCGATTCTGAACAAAAACCTGCCAATACCAAAGGGAAAGACAAGCTACAAAGCTTTGATTTTATGCAAAACCTGAGCCCAATCCACCAAACATTTATTTCAAAATCTTTACATCAGGCAAATTTTTTAAAGAGAAAACGGACGTGCATTGGGTGCCTCTTGTGTGACTAGCTCCAGGCTAGGAGCTCCCCTTCCCCTTAACCTTCGCTTGTTTCCTTGTGGAATGAGGCTCTCACATGAGTGCCTGAGACCACACCTGATTTCATCCCCTTCGGAGCACACTTTTCAGTGCAAGGCATGCGTGCATTGTGAGACTGCTGCTCTAACAATAAATACCGGCAGCAAAAGAAGTAGCCAGGCATGTCTAATTAAATCTCGATGTTCGATTTTCACATGAGGTGGTGTGTATGCAAGAACTCTGAAAAACGCACACAGTGCTATGCAATGGAAGGTAGTGTGATGATTATTTCAGACTACATTGTCTACCCAGGACAACATAAGCAGCCCAAGAACAGAAATGGTTCTTTCCTGAGCATAGCTACACCCTCAGAGCCCAGCATTGCTCCTGGGACATAGTTCGTTCACCGTAGTCAACAAACGCTGTAAAGTAAGCCAAACTTGTTCAATGTTAATAGAGGGTGGGCAGAAGTGAGGTAAATAAATGAAACTAAAATTAGCTCTTTTTAATGCTCATTAATCTTTGACAGATTTGGAGATAAAAGTAAGTTAGAACCATTAGCAAAAATTAGGTCTGTGGATGTTATTTTTCATCTGAAAAATTTCCTGCTTACCTGGAATTGTCATTTGTATTGTGCTGTTTCTGTACCATCACCACCTTTGCTGTCATCTACCTTAGCAGCAGCAACCTCACCATCCTCACCATCCCCACATTCACTTTTATTGGCACCAACACCACCATCAGCATCCCCACCATCGTCACCATCATCATCATCACCATTATCACCATCATCCCCATTGTTACCAGCATAAGCATCATTATCACCATCACTGTCACCAGCATCACTGTCACCAGCAGCAGCAGCAACAGCAATACCATCAACACCAGCAGCATCATCACTATTAACCCCATTGTCACATCACCATCATCACCATCATCATCACCATCACTGTCACCAGCAGCAGCAGCAGCAGCATCACCACCATCTGCACATCATCACTATCACCACCATCACCACCACCACCACCATTGGCATCACCACCATCATCATTATCACCATCACAACCACCACCTTCACCACCAGCACAATCATCCGTGTCATCACCATGACCATCATCGCCATCACCATCGTCACCACCACCGGGACCATTAGTAGCATTATCACCACTACCATCATCAACATCATCATCGTCACCACCACCACTACCATCAGCAGGATTATCACCACCACCATCATCACCATACCATCACACCATCATGATCACTGTCACCACCACCACCATTATCATCATCAGCAGCAGCAGCAGCATCACCAACACAATCACCACCACCACCATCACCATCAGTACCATCATCACCATCATTACACCACCATCATCATCACCATCACCTCACCATCATCATCACCATCACCACCATCAGCACCATCATCACCTCACCACTATCATCACCATCAGCACCATCATCACTATCTGTACCATCACCATCATTATCATCACCCCCACCATCAAAATCAGCAGCAGCGGCGGCACCATCATTGCCAGCACCATCATCACATCAGCACCAATATTATTTAGATCTACTGTTCAAAATAAAGAACACAGAGTGCTGGCTTTATTTAATTCAATACTTTTCAATAGGCACCAGTCTTTCTAAGGCTCTTTTCACATTCTGTTTCCCCTCCTTAGGTTTTGAAAACAGGAGTAGAAATTAACTGATGAAAAAAGGGTAGCTCTGGTTCTCATTTTTCATCCGAAACACCAGCCAATCTAATCTTCCTTAGGCTCTGGGTCAAGGGGTCGTTGGTAAATTGATTAAGTTAAACAGTAAAAATGCTCTAACGAAATATGCAACTACTAAACGCAGTTCGGAGGTACTATAACAACCCCAGCAGAAGCTGGGAGAGCCATCACTGGGCTTTGCATCTTGAAAAAGTGGCTTCACATTTCTCAAGCTGTTTGAGATTCTATAGTTCCTACTTTTTTTTTTTTTTTTTTTTTGAGACAGTCTCTCGCTGTCACCCAGGCTGGAGTGCAGTGGCGCGATCTTGGCTCAACCTCCACCTCCAGGGTTCAAGCAATTCTCTTGCCTCAGCCTCCTGAGTAGCTGGGATTATAGGTGCCTGCCACCATGCCTGGCTAATTTTTGTATTTTTAGTAGAGATGGAGTTTCACCATGTTAATTAGGCTGGTCTCGAACTCCTGACCTTGTGTTCTACCCTCCTAGGCTTCCCAGTGTGCTGGGATTACAGGCTTTAGCCACCGAGTCCAGTCACTTAGATTATTTTTTTTAAAGTCACAATGGGGGTCCAGGGTGTCTGGGAAGTCAGATTTGCTGGAGAGAAACTAGTGTTGTCATGAGGCTGCCTAATTATAAAGACACTTAACCCTGTCCTTGCTGATACAAAATACCACAAATCACAGGTATTGGACCATCAAGGCTGCCTTTCACAAATGATAAAGTTAGTTGACTTCTAGGATTCTTTATTTCCTCCTCTGTAAAATAAACATAACTCTAGTTATCATAATACTTACCTGTAGAAGTTTAAAAATAGGTGTTTAGCACATGGTAGAAACTCATTCAAAACTCATTCAAAAAACAGGTGTTTAGCACATGGTAGAAACTCATTCAAACTCCATTCCCTCCCTCTTCAGCCTATAAAAATTTCAAGAAATTAACTGACGGGAAAAGGGAAGCTCTGGTTCTCATTTTCTCTCATGAAAAGCAAATTTTAGGATATAAAGCTCTTGTGAGCTCGTGACACTCTTTCAAAATTCTTTAATAAAAATTTTCACTTTCCTTAATCAGTTCATGAATGATTTCATTTCCTCAGCCTGTATGACACACAGAAAGTCTGTGGTACACATCCCACTATATTGCTATCCGTAACAGATTCCCATCGCTGTCTTTATCCTGTTTAGTTTCCATCACTGAGGAGCACTTACCACTATCTGGTAATAAATACAGTTGTTTATTTAAGGTCCACAAGGTACAGCCTTTGCTGGTTTTCTCTTCCTGTGTATCTCCATCAAGTAGAACGGTATTAACAAATGGTAAGTGTTCAGTAAATATTTAGAGAAGGGTAAGAGGTGAGCAAGGGAAGAAAAATCAGAGAAAAAAATGAAAGCAAGTGGGAGAGGGGAGAAAGAGAGAGAAAACCCTCCTAAGAGAGAGGTGTGTTGCAATTTCTTGCCTGTAAGTTACATGTTGGTCTGCCTTATAGACCGAGAGTTCTGTGGAATCACAGGCCATGTCATTTCTTCTTTGCATCCTTAGCAACGAATACAGTAGCTGGCACTTAACAGCCAGTTACTATTAAAATGAATAAATAAACATGTGTGTATGTATGTCATTTGTCTCTATATATTTGCAGGTCTTCAAGAGGAATGTCAGTTCCAAAAAGGGTGGGGAGAAATTGCTCTGTCTCTTGACTACAGAGAGGGCTATAATCCCAAAACCTTAAACAAGCCCAATCGCCACCCAGAAAAGTACAGCTAATCATCACCATTAACCAAAACCCTGCTATCAAAAAATTCAATAATTACACAGATTTCAAATAAAAGGCAGGGTAAAAAGCAACCTCAAAAGAGAAGAAAACCAGGGACAAACGGAAACCCACTCATGTCAAAGAGGTCTTTCCTCGGGCTGCTCTCAGCGCTGCTGACCACAGCTGGCCAGGCCTGCAGTGGGATCTGCTGGGTGTTGACGTAGGTGGGTGCTTCTCCCGTGGAGGCCACGTGCAGTTTTCCTTCTGGCATGCTGTAGATGTCCAAGGACCCTGCAACAGGAAAGTGAACCCATTTTCTTTTATGAGGGTGACACGATTCGAGCCGCCCAGCACTTCACAGAGAAGCTCTTCAGTCTGCAAATGGGAAAACTCCTGCAGATTCCCATCGGTGACATTCTCCTCTTCTGAGCTTGTCACCACACACTGCTGTGACCTGGCTAGGATGTTTTCCAGCCCTGCTTATCAACATGGGATCTGCCAGCCAATGTCAGTGTAGACACCTTGATGGCGTCACTGTGATGGCCTTAGCAAAGATTCTGGCCCTCGCTGCCCCAAGACAGCAGGAGTCTGGCAGGCAGAACATGCCTGGTCTCCTCCTCTCCTTGACAAATGGTCCAAGATCAAATAACCAAGCAGAAGGACCACAAGCCTTATTTTAATTGCTCTTTTTTTTTAATATAAGCAAATGCTTTATAAATTAACTTCATTCAAGCAATACAATAGAAGCTCTGTACATTTGAAGAACAGAGAGAGACTCCTTCCTTACAAAACAGAGCTGCAGCTACTGTCCCTGCATCTGTGAAGGAAGCCTAGGGTGGGTGTGCAAGTGAAAAGGCCCCTCCGCTGCGGCAGTGATGCTGCCTGGATGGGACTTCACAGCTAGGTAATGGGTGTGCTGAGGCTGGGCCCAGGCTGTCTGTCACCCAGACCCTGGGTGAAAGTGTCACCCAGACCTAGTTGCCTGAGAAAGCCTGCTCAGATCCCTCTGGGAGTCTTTTTGCGTGTGTGCCCTGTCTCCAATCCTCTTACGTAATCACGTTCACAAGAACACCCTGTGGTGTTCACATTTCTGGAAAGAGGGTGTCTTTCATAACCTATGGGCGGTGGTGTGTTGAAGCCAGCTCAATCCAGCTGGCAGGAGTTGGTTCAGGGCCTTTTAAAAATCGTTCCCAAGAGCCTGTGGCTGGACGTTTGCCAGCACACCACTGTCTCCCAGCCTGGAGGTGTGAGAATGAAGTGTCGTGCTAATGTTCCCTCACTGGGGAACACCGCCTGCAACATCACGCACTGTGTTTCTGCTCTCCTGTTTCTCAACATGCTTTCTCTGTTGAAGAGTCGATTCAGATTAGGCGTCCTTGCTTAGTGACAGCTATTTGCAGTTTACACCTTTGTGTACATTGCAAACAAATCAGCCTTTAGAAAAGAATTTCACAAACAAAATTTTTAAAGGAGAAGATCAAAAGCCCAAAGGGCATAATCTTCCTGACTGCCCTTTCCCAGGGTGCTAAGCTGGGGCAGAAGGACACGTGCCTTGGTGACACCTGGAGTTCATGTCCACCGGGAAGAGTATCTGCCAGCAAATTAATAAGTGGCATGCGAATTTGTTCTATGAGAAAAGGTCTTTATTTATTTTATTTTTTGAGACAGAGTCTTGCTCTGTCACCCAGGCTGGAATGCAGTGGCACGATCTCAGCTCACAGCCATCTCCACTTCCCAGGTTGAAGTGATTCTCCTTCCTCGGCCGTCCGAGTAGCTAGGATCACAGGTATGTGCCAACATGCCTGGCTAACTTTTTGTGTTTTTAGTAGAGACAGGGTTTCACCATGTTGGCCAGGCTGGCCTTAAACTCCTGACCTCAGGTAATTCATCCGCCTTGGTCCCCCAAAGTGCTGGGGTTATCGGCATGAGCCACCATGCATGGCCTATTTATTGTTTTCAAAGAAAAATTGGAAATTTATCGAGAGCTTGGAGTCTCAAATTCCAGGCCAGGAGCTCATTCTGCTATATCATCTGTTCTCGATCTGGCTGGAATCACTTGAATATACGAAAAACAAGACCTATTTTAAAATAAACCTGACATATTTTACAATAGAGTAAATATCTAACAGAAATAATGTGTCCCCTTTATTCCTTAGCAATTATTGTATGTCTATGTCTTAGCACACATGTTATGGAAGTACACTTTAAATGTATATAGAAAAAAGGATAAATAGCCCATAGTGAAAATGTCCCTCTGGCAAAGTTATGACTCTGATTTGCTATTTCCAGCCTATTCTAAGGCAGAGCATGTGGTGGCTTCTGCCAGGCCTTATGTTTTATTGACTGGGCCAACACTGTGGGTCTTCCTGCATCTGGGGTAGGCGAGACATGAAATTCTCTTACATAGAGGAAATTTTTTAAATGTATTGTCATTTGCTTCCTGGCATAAATAGCTATAATAAAGGAATAGCCATAACATTAAACCAATAAATGTTTAAATTTAGATACATAGAAGCATCAGTTGCATCCCCCTTCAGACTTTGTAGACTTAGTAACCAGTATCCCAGAGCTATTAAAATAGTTATAATTTTTTTTTTGAGAAAGGAAGAAGTTTAAAATTAAAAGACATTCTTAAAGGATTGATAGATTAGGTAGATTGAGAGATGAATACATTCATACATAGTTGTATGTGTATATATAACTGTCTAGAGAATAAAGGCTTATGTGAGCAATTAGCAATTGCTTCCTAGATAGTTGTATCTAAATTATTATAGCTGTACCTGAATATATTTGAACTAGCTATCTGACTTATAGACAGTAATATGGACATGCATGTTTTTTATGTATTTTTTATTTTTTTCATCATCAGGTGGAACATGATGGACAATAATGTATGATGTAGGTGCATGTTATTCCATTTTTAAGATACAGAAGTGTTCTCTAAGAGTATTCAGGGCCTGTGAGAGACTTATATCCCCGATATCACCTCTGCCTCAATCCCCAGCTTAGAGTAGGGGACTTCACAGTTCCCCCAAAGCAGACCCTGAGTAAAGGGAACGAGAACAAGATAAGGAAGGAAAGGCAACAATTTGCTGTAAGAGTCACTGAGGGTCAACCTCAACCTTCGAGTTGCCTCATGAGTTCCTGTGGGAAACTGGCGTGAAGGTGCACCCGAGAAGTCAACTTCTCAGTGCCCTTGGGCACAAAAGCTCTCCCAGCATGGAGGTGTACAGTCTCAGGCACATGAGACAGTAAGCACAGGCACGGTGTGAATTTCCTGAAGTTGCAGGGAGGCACCACCTGATTGGTGCCAGGAGATCAACACCATCGCTTCTTTTTTTAATTTTTAATGAGATGGGGTTTTGGTCTTGTTACCAGGCTGGTGTACAATGGTGCGATCTCAGCTCACTGCAACCTCCACCTCTTGGATTCAAGCAAGTCTCCTGCCTCAGCCTCCCGAGCAGCTGCGATTACAGGCACTTGCGACCACACACAGCTGATTTTTTGTATTTAGTGGAGTTGGGGTTTTAGCATGTTAGTCAAGCTGGTCTCGAACTCCTGACCTCAGGTGATCCTCCTGCTTCAGCCTCCCAAAGTGCTGGGATTACAGGCATGTGCCACTGCGCCCGACCGCATCATTGCTTCCGTTTCTATGGTCTAATCAGGATTCTATAGCAACACACACAGCAACTATTTCCAGGGCTCACTCTGTCAGTCCACAGGAAATAGGTGACCCAGTGGTGAGCATGTTACTTTTGACAAGTGTCTTTTGTGTTTCTCAATCATCTCACCTTGCCTCTCACTTTGCCTGAAAGGCGTTTGCTGCCAGTCTTCGCCAAAGGTGTCTCCTAAGTGTCTTCCCTGGTAATAAGTCTGCTCTTTTCCTGCAAACTATAGACACATGTAAATACAGAGAATGAAAAACTTCTTCTCTTCTCATTTCCCCACTTTTGAAAGCCACAGGACAGTTGGCAGATTGGACCCTCAAGGGGATCACATCCTTTGTTAACACCGAGTTTTCCCTTCATGCCTCATGGTTGGCATTAAGGTTTAGGAAATAAGTTTGTGTGGGTGTGAGGAAAAGGCTGCATCTCCATCAAAACTACACATGCCCTCCCCCCCGTTTTCATTACCCCCACCACCCCTCCCAAAGTGTGACTGCAAATCAAGCTCTTCCATATGTATGTCCTAAAATAAATCTCAATTACAGAGTATCTATGTGTCAGAACACACTTCCCACATAACACATACGCCCATGATCATTCACACTTGGGCAAGTCCACTCTGTAAACCAGGAAATTTCCTCCAAAAAACCGGGAAATTCCCTCTCAGTGTCAGATTCCTGAGCTCAATGTTATTTTGCCATTTTTAGTGGTGTCATTATCATTCCCATAAGGTAGTAATGTTAAAAATTTCCTAGAACAAAACAGAAAAATCATAAGTCCAGAAAGCAATTGGCTTACTATAATTTTGAGTTGGACATAAAACAAGAGAATGAATAAAATAGAAAACTCATAAAATTCTCATCATTTTAGGGGTCTATATTCACTCTCTTTTTAAAGAACCCAATGCCTCCCAAGCCTTTTTAAAATCTTAAATTCTCTCTTTTCCTCACTGAGGTCACAGTATGATGGAATATGTCTGAGGGAAAATATCCCGAGACCCATATCCCAGGAATCGCAACACAGTTCCTAAGCGTTTGGCTAATGCTTTGTGATGTCAACACAAAGCTTTTTCTCATCTGCATGCTTTATGAAATCCAATGAGAGAAAACTCATGATTTTCAAAAATGGGACAGAACATCAGCCTGAAATAAAACCAAAGAAAACAAAAGGAAATAGAGTTGAGTTAGCCTCCAGCCTCCATTCCTTATAAAAGGAAAAAAACCTGTAAGACTTACCTGAGCTGTGTCAGAAGTGTGGGGTCTGGGTTTCAGTCGAGCATCAAGAAAGCCCCCTGGAGGAGGCATCTTGCTTGGGATGCTGTTGTAATACGGGTGGTCTGAGCCATCTCCCTCCTCTTCCGTCCATGGTTCATCCAGACTCTGCATTCTGTTAAAAGAAGATTTCCAAGGGCTTTAGCCAAAAGTTGAGCTTACAGCCAAGACCAACAAATCTAATGTTAGTGCCTGTTATCAAGAAAAGAAAGTTTAGGCAGTGCCTCCTCAACCATCTAGGTCTCGTGCATAGATGAAAAGCAGATGAGTGGTTCAGCAAACTCTCTCTGCCATATTCAGAGTTTCACTCGCTGGAACATTACAGTCATGTTTGAAAGAAGTCCTTTTGTAAGAGTACATTTTACTTAAGAAAGAAATTATGCCTAAGGATAGCCAGCTCCTCAGAGGACAGCCTACATTTTAGTAAGCCATGAAATTTATCCAAAACAAAACCAAGCGCAAAATGGAAATTTAGTGATATGAGGAAAAAATGGTAGAACACAAAATTCTCAGAATTCTCCCTTCTGCTATTTGAAAAAAAAAAAAAAAACTGTTGTGATTCAAAAAACATTATCAAGAAAGTAAAAATACAAACTACAAAATGGGAGAAAATATTTGCTAACATATATCTTAAAAGAGACAAAGAGACATATATCTAGAAAATATAAAGTACTCCTACAACTCAACCATAAAAAGACAAACCGATCTTAAAAGTGAGCTAAGGATTTGAGCAGACGTTTCTCCAACGATACACAAAAGGCCAATAACCGCATGAAAAGATGATCGACATCATTAGTCATCAGGAAAATGCACATCAAAACCACGACCAGAGACCACTTTGTTCCCACTAGGGAAGCTATAATCAAAGAGATGGACGAGAAAAAGTGTTGATGAGAACATGGGGGCATTAGAACCCTCATACATGGCTGATGGGTCTGTAAAATGGTGCAGCCACTTTGGAAAATAGCTTTGCAGTTTCAGCATGAACATGTGACCACAGAATTTCACTCCCAGGTATATACATAAGCATATTGAAACATATGTCCCCAAAGAAACTTGTGTACATCTTCACAACAGCGTTGTTCATAAGAGCTAAAAGGTAGAAGCACCCAATTGTCTATAAACTAATGAATGGATGAACAAAGGGTGATCTATCTATACACTCAAATATTATTAACAGCTCTAAAAAGAAAGAAAACTGACAGATCCGATAACATGAGCGAATCTGGAAAACATTCTAAGTGAAAGAAGCCAGACACATACAGTATGATTCCATTTCTATGAAATGTCCAGAATGGGCAAATCCATAGAGGCAGAAAGCAGATCAGTAGCTGCCTGGAAAGCCGGCGGTGGAGAATGGGGAGTATTGCTGATGGATGTAGTTTCTTTGGGGGGGTAATGAAAATGTTCTGGAATTAATGGTGATAATTGTACAACTTTTGCATATACCAAATCTACTGAATTGTAAACTTTAAAAGGGCAATTTATTATATATGAATTAATGATCAATTTTAAAAATAATAACAAATGGAGTCAGTGGCATTTGATTTGCTTTTCAATGTCTTTTTTGTTTTTGTGTTGAAATGCCCTTGGAATTTCGCAAGGAAAATCCTCCAAGAAAAATCAGACTATACTAAAAAATCCACTGACTGACTGATTGATTGATTGATTTTTTGAGACGGGGTCTCGCTCTGTCATCCAGGCTGGAGTGCAGTGGTGTAATCATGGCTCACTGCAACCTCTGCCTCCCAGGCAAGCCATATTTCCACTTCAGCCTCCTGAGTAGCTGGTACTAGAGGCACACACCACTGAGCCCCGCTAATTTTTGTATTTTTAGTAGAGGTGGGGTTTTGCCATGTTGCCCGGGATGGTCTCACACTCCTGGGCTCAAACATCCACCCACCTCGGCCTCCCAAAATGCTAGGATTATAGGCCTAATCTTGTAATCCACACCTGGGCAAAAATCCATTTATATAAAAGTACTATTTTTTCTGGGCGTGGTGACTCACGCCTGTAATCCCAGCACTTTGGGAAGCCAAGCCGGGCAGATCACCTGAGGTCCAGAGTTCGAGACCAGCCTAACCAACATGGAGAAACCCCGTTTCTACTAAAAATACAGAATTAGTCAGGCGTGGTGGCGCACACCTGTAGTCCCAGCTACATGGGAGGCTGAGGCAGGAGAATTGCTTGACCTGGGGAGGCTGCGGTTGCAGTGAGCCGAGATCACGCCACTGCACTCCAGCCTGGGCAACAAGAGAGAAACTCCATCTCAAAAAAATTTTTTTTAAAAAAGGTGCAGCCGGGCGCGGTGGCTCACGCCTGTAATCCCAACACTTTGGGAAGCCGAGGTGGGCGGATCATGAGGTCAAGAGATCGAGACCATCCTGCACGACACAGTGAAACCCTGTCTCTACTAAAAATACAAAAAAATCAGCCGGACTGGTGGCGCGGGCCTGTGGTCCCAGCTACGAGGGAGGCTGAGGCAGAAGAATCGCTTGCACCCGGGAGGCGGAGGTTGCAGCGGGCCCAGATTGCGCCACTGCACTCCAGCCTGGCGACAGAGCAAGACTCCGTCTCAAAAAAAAAAAAAAAAAAAAAGTGCTATTTTTAATTTCCAGTTGGAGCTGGGCAATGGATCTCTCCCCCAAAGCAACAAAGCTGAATGTATCAAATCCTAATACCGCCAGGAAATGTTTTCCACTTTGGAGACTCATGGCCTGAGAGATTGAGTAGAAAACCCAAGAACTTTTCCGAAACAGAAGCTCCTGCCTTGCTGGCCCCTGAGATCCCAGCATCCCAGGAGGAAAACCTGCCAGCTCCGCCACAGATCAGGTCCGCAGAGAACTGGGCTGGAAAGGCTACATGCAAGGCGGGTTCTCATGCTCCCAGGCTGCCCCCAGCTGGAGGAGAGGGGCTGGAATGGAAGGCAGAGCAAGTCCAAGAGATCCCCGTTGCCCCACTGTCAGATAGCAGGCTGCGGACACCAGAGGCCACTGCAGGATAAGGTGAAGGAGGTGTCGGGTCACCGATAGTATGAAGCTACAGGCAGGGCCCCTTGTCACGGTTCTGCTTTAGAAATGATATGCCAATACTTGCATTTGGAGGTGACGTTTTTCTCAGTGCATAAGATCCTGTCTATTACATTTTCTTTCCCCCAAAGACCTTCAAACTTCACTATATAAAAACACATACAGAATTTCATACTTCACGTACACTGCCAGAGGAGTACGGCAGTTTATCTCCCTCCATTCATTTTTTGATGTATTATCTTAATAGCATTTATCTGGCTTTTATGCAACAGTTCAGAAATAAAGGAAAGCACAGTAATTAATATGAAACATGCATTCTCCGTGGAGATTAAGTAAGTGTTAACCTTTTGAACTATTATGTTAAGTCAAGTTTAGCCTAAAGCTGCCTCCTTACGTATTTAAGTTTGGCCTAAAGGTGTCTCTGTGCATCTTGAACGATAACAAGTGGAGGTGTAGACAGACGTTAGTCTACTCGTGTCAATCACCAAGTTTTGGCCAATCAAATGTAACCAGCTGTTTGAGCTGTGTTCAAATAAGGCAAATGCGGAGCTGTAACCAATCCAGCTGTTTCTCAACCCCACTTCAATTTTCTGTAAGTCACTTTCCTTTTGCAATTCATGAATCTTCTTCCACCACGTGGCTGGACTGGAGTCCCCGAGTCTACCCTGGCTGGGAAGGCTGCCCAATGCACTAATTGTTCATTGCTCAATAAAACTCCTTTAAATTCAACCCAGCTGAAATTTTTCTTTTATTATCAATTACACGTTTCCTTTTTAAATAAAATTTGTCACAATTGGATGGATACATAGATATGTGATATTAAAAGTAAAATGTTAATGGTAGATGCTAGATAGTGGCTACACAGTTCTTTGTGTATATTGGAACATTTGTATTATAAATGTTGCTGGGGGTGGGGGATATGCTTGACAAATACAATGAAACACAACCCATACACCTGGACCCCTGCCCTGTCCTCAGATATCCTGGAGATGTGTATAATATTTGTGCATTTTTTGTTGTTGTTTGTGTGTTTGATTTTTTGAAATGGAGTCTCGCTTTGTCGCCCAGGCTGGAGTGCAGTGGCACAATCTTGGTTTACTGCAACCTCTGTCTCCCAAGTTCAAGTGATTCTCCTGCCTCAGCTTCCCAAGTACCTAGGACTACAGACGTGTACCACCATGCCCAACTAATTTTTGTATTTTTAGTAGAGACAGGATTTCATCATGTTGACCAGGCTGGTCTCGAACTTCTGACCTCAGGTGATCCACCCATCTCGGCCTCCCAAAGTGTTAGGATTACAGGCGTAAGCCACTGTGCCCGGCCTTGTGCATGTTTTCATACTGTTCCCACACATGTATTTATCCATATAGTATATGTGCCATCATTTATGTTTTTAAATTTTTCATAAATGGTTTGTATCCTTTTGTAACTTGCTCTTTTTTATTCCATTATAAATTTTAAGATTTACACTGGTAGCACATGTATATTGGTGAATTCTTATTAACTACTATGTCCCATTATACACAAAATAAAACATTTGTTTCCCCTCTCTCCTACCTACTTTTGAGTTGCTGCCACTGTCTGCCTCTAATTCTTCTGTACGCCTCGCCCTGTCCCAGCTTGCTGAAGTTTCTTTCTTCTTATTTTTTCAAATGTGATGGCCATAAGGGAGAATTGAATTCTAGCATTTTCAGCCTCTGGAGTGAAGTTTCTAGCAACGTGAAAAAAGTGGGTCCTTTAGAGGCGCCTCCAAAATGAATGTCTTAAGGGGAATTTTCCAGGGAAACAGGAAAAGAAATGAAAAGTCTCTCTGAAGAAAGGCAAAGATTGAGAAGGGCATGAAAGAAGCCTTCATAATGACAAAAGCAAAGGTAGAGTCTGCCTGTAGGACTAAGGGCATAGATTGTGGCTTTAGAAGTTTGAAAAAAAGTATAGAGTAAATTTAGGTACAGTAAAGTTTTATTTATAGTGAACATACCATTAGAATAGATTTTCATTATGCAAGTTCGATCAAGGACAGAATATTGAACGACCACTATCCCCCATATTACTTTTCTTTTAATGCTTGATGCTGTGTGGAACATTCTTACAACCTAAGACAACTCAGTGATAGAACCTGAACATTTTTATAATAAACTAAACATCTCCCAGTTCCTGTTCACAGTCACTGTTTTGTTGAACACTTAAAACAAACAAACAAACAAACAAAAAAACCTATGATGCCACTCTTATTCCCATTTCACAGATAAAGCTGCGGAGATGCAGAGCGTTTGCAGAACTTGCTCAGGGCCACAGGGAAGGTAAACAAACTACCAAGCTGTTAAGCTGCAAAGGCCAGTGAAGTGGAAACGATGCTGGTAGCCAGCACAGTGCCTCATGGAGGGGACTTCTTGTAGCACGACTTTGGCTAATCATGACGACAAGGACAATGGGACACATAGAACCGGTGGTGACATAGACCCAAAGAGGTAACATATGGAAGCATCACATGGCTGCAGAGGAAACAGAACAAAAAAAATTATAATGAAGTCGCTTTTCGGTAACCTTGGCGACTGTCACTATAGTTTCAAGAAAATGTTTTTCTACACATTCAAAGCATCATCCATATGTTGGCTTCCATCTGTTGGTTTTCTGTGCCATATCCCGGCACCGACCAGGTGTCTCCAAGCCCAGGAAGCCCTGTGATTAATTGTGCCTGTCCAGAGCACGGCTCAGGGACGCGGATTTAAGAGGAAAGGTCATAAAACCCACAGAGGCTATTGCAAATGGTGTCACAGCACTACTCACCGGTCATGGAGAGCAGGAATCTTGGTAGGACACTGCAAATACTGCTTAAATCGGAGCTCAAAGGCTTGTCCTATGGAGCCGATGACATCCTGGGCCAGCCCATCGCAGCATTCCAAAATGTGACAAGCTGGGAAAGGAAGTGACATGGGCCTATTAGAGATAGACACTGGTGCTCCCTGGGCTCCTCTACAAAGAGCCATTGCTGAGGACACAGGGACAGCGAGGTGCATGCTTCTTCCATTATAGGTCCTAGCAGATCCAAGTGCAGCTTTATCCCTGGGTAGAGAATCCTACAGCTAAAACATTTCACAGTAGGCATGCATTTCTTAATAGCTTATGGTCTACAACATTATAGGCTTCATTGTTAAAAAAAAATTAAAGAATTTTCAAGTTTAATTTGATGGCCTTCAATTTCTTTAGAGTCTATTAAGCATCAATTCTGACGTCAATAGAGAAAAATTGTTTAGGAGACTTTAGCATGACAAAGAGCCTAATCTTGGCATGAACCAGGTCCCTTTAAACCCATGAGGCCTTAAAAAATGGGCTGAACCCAGCATCTGTTGAATGAATCTTGATTTATTCAGTGGACTTAGAGCAAGTTGTTCACTTACTTCTTAGTGGGGATAAAGTGTTGACCCCCATATGTGGCCGCTCAAAACAATAAGCAAATCTTCGAAGATGGATATAAAGAGATATTAATGATCAGTTTGCCCATCCCAACAGCATAACACACGCATCTACATAAATTTGAGACTGGACATTCATGCAGATTCTCAGAAAAGTGGTTTGTGTCAAGAGTAGATAGAAGTTAGGGGTGGCGGTGGGTCAAAATGAGGCCACTCCGAGGCCGGGGGTGAGGCCTGGAGCAGTCCTCATGCTGGAAGCAGGCACCAGCTGTTATCACAAGGACATGCTGTCCTAGTGGCGAGGCTGTGGGGTTATCTACGAGAAATCTTCAGAGAGAAGAGGGCCAGCCTCTGCCTCATAACAAAGTAGTACTTTTTCTCCAGGGTACTGGAAAATATCTCTGCTCTCCAGACCCACGTCCCCAGTGCCCTACACAGGCATCCACAGTGCCCTACACAGGCATCCCCAGTGCCCTACACAGGCATCCCCAGTGCCCTACACAGGCGTCCCAGTGCCCTACACAGGCGTCCACATGTCCCTCCTGAAGGAGCCACAGGGCTGTCGCCATGACGAGGCTCGCATGATCTTTTTACTACTGGGATGACGGAATTCTCCCTGGGAAGGATGACAGCTGTCTCTCTCACACCCCACCTTTCTCCTGCGGACAGTCGTATGCCAAGAAGCGTTCCTCCAAGAGCTGCGTGGATCCCTGCGGTGAGGAGGATGCATGGCTAGTTGTTTCCCAGCCCTGGCAGTAATTAGGGAGACACTGAACTGTGCCCTCCCTCTAGGAGAAGCCAGTATATACTGGAAAGAGGAAAGCTGCCAGGGAGGGGACAGAGAGACAGATACTGCTGCCTCTGCAGAGCGTGGAGCCTCTCAGCGGAACACTGCGCTGGGACCTCACCCAGAAGGCAGCCAGCCAGGCCCTGGGGCCTCAGCTTCTTCTCCTCCAGACTCCAGGGCAGGGTGACTTCTGTGGACACACGAAATGGAGTCCCTTGGAAGAGCAAGTACGAATGGATCGCTGCTTTGGGTGGTAATGCAGCTCTGTGGATACAGCAGTCCTATTTCAGATACAGCCAAAAGATTTGTCTGCAAAGTTTCAGGTGTCCTGGTTGTCTTTTGATTATTGATATTATTTTAGTATTGACATTATTATTTAATAAGCATTGGCCCAGGTAGTCACAAAGCAATACTAAGCAGCTGTTACAGCTGTGCGGGTCATCGACTGATAAAAACACAACGTCTTTCCAGCTAAGAAGGAAGGAGTCATCCAGGCCTGAGCGAGGGAAAGCCAGTGACACTTCATCTCCAAGACCCGTCCTGTGGTTCCCAGCCACACCCTCCCGGGCCTGCCATCCAGCATCAGTACCAGCCAATCAGACTGGCTGGTCAGTGTTTTGGAGAACCAGAGGAAAGACTGGAAAAGTGTCGAAAGGGTAGCCTTATTTTTATTTATTTATTTATTTATTTATTTTTGAGGAGAGAGTAGGTACTCTAGCCTTTAAGACGGAGAATGAAGAATATGATTTATTGAGAATGGCTGTAGCATCTCATCCACATGCCACTAGTCTTCTACACAGCTGAGAGCACAAAGCCTGGGTAAGAGGCGTCTGTGGGAAGGGTCCAGAACAATTGGAGCAGGTCAGGGCTCAAGGAAAAAGTGCCGTAGCATGCTGAGAAATGGGCATGTTGCTCTAGGTGACGAATAGGGAAGCAGGCCCTGCAGATTGTGAGCAGACCCATGGATTCTCAGGAATTAACTCACACCTGCAGCTCCTGGAACCTGCCAGAGTCCTCAATGAATGGAGAAAACAAGTCACCTATTGCTTTGGTTTAAGGATTCCTTCTGTAAAATGACGTCTACATGTTCCAGAAACTCACTCCAAATCCAAAATTAAACCTGGACTTCATCTTTCTGGGCCTGGTATTTCTTCTGAGAGTATTGGCCCTTAGCTGAAAGCCACTGTCTTCTAGCCTGCTCTGTGTGATTTGATGTGTGCACCAAATAATGAGGCCTTCCCCAGTGGCAGTCATCAAGGCTGCTGGGCTCTGCTGGGCTTCGCCTCTCCCTGAGGACATAACAGAACCAAAGATATCATTCACAAGAAATGGAGAAGAAACCAACAAGAGAGACGTGCCATGGGTTGGTGCACAGAATCAAGATCCCAAATGATGCAAAGTCTAAAACATAGCTCAATGCAAACAAAGGTTAGCAAAACAGAGAATTCCACCGTCCTCATCCGGGGAAACTGCCCTTTGGAAAAACTCACCGCGACGGCCTGCAATAGTTCGTTTACTTAAAAACAGGGCTCCTTTCCCAACACTACTTTCTCTCTTGCTTAGCACCAACCAATAAAAAAAAAAAAAAAAAAAAAAAAAAAAAAAAAAAAAAAAAAAAAAAAAAAAGCTGAAGCCACTCTCTAAGAGGACTAGCCCAAGCTGCCCTGGAGCAGCCACCTGAGCAGTGACATCAGCAAGGGACTCTCAGCAGGTCATGTTGCAAGGACTACTCCATACCCGAGATGGGCAACTTGAGAGCAAACCAATCCCTTAGGAATGTGTTATGGCCCTTCGGTCACACAGTAGGAGCCAGGGACACGGTGGCCTTCTACCATATGGTAGCTCCTGGCCTGTCAACTCACATCTCCCACTCCCTGAAGAACGGCCGACAGTGGTGGATGAGAAGGCGGTGCTTAGCTGCATGCCAATCTGCCAGACTGCCAGTTCTCAGCTTCCTCCTCTCCCCGAATAAGTCCAGAGGCTAGCAGCTGCTCCCAGCTTCTTACTCAGGGCTGCCCCCTTGCCATCTGCCAGCCACAACAGGGCCTCTAGTAACCTGGTGCCAATCTCGTTCATCTGAGCATGCTCTCAACACCCTCCCTGTGACACCTATCCTGTGAGTAGGGGTGGGCAAGTTATGCCCAGCGTTTTTAGCTGAAAACAACTATTTCATTCTGGCTCTCTCATTTCTGGACACCTCTCTAAGGCTGACATCCTCTTGTGGTACCTCAGTGGCCCAGGCTGCTTTGATCCTTTGATCCTGGATTTCAACACAAGGTCTTTCCCACAACCTGGAGGAGAAAGAGACACCAGGGCCTTGCACCAGGACCAAATACACCTTCTGTTCTGCTGTCAGCCCATCACACAGAACTGTCATGGGTTTCTCCCAAGCAGAAGGGGGATGGCAGGTGCTATCTTTTTTTTTTTTTTTTTTTGATAGGGTCTCGCTTTGTTGCCCAGGCTGGAGTGCAGTGGTGCAATCTCGGCTCACTGCAACCTCCGCCTCCTGGGTTCAAACAATTCTGTGCCTCAGTCTCCCAAGTAGCTGGGATTACAGATGCCCACCACTATGCTCGGCTAATTTTTTGTATGTTTAGTAGAGATGGGGTTTCACCATCTTGGCCGGGGTGATCTTGAACTCCTGACCTCATGATCCACCCACCTTGGCCTCCCAAAGTGCTGAGATTACAGGAGTCAGCCATTGCGCCCAGCCTGGCAGGTGCCATCTTCTGCAAGTTTGGAAGGATAAGAGAGCAGGATAGTAGGAATGCCCATCACACCCACTGAACCCCTCTGTAAGTCATAGGTATGCATGTTGCTTCTCACTCATACCCACCACAAAGAACTTTCCAACCATGCATCCCCAATTAGTATCTATTTATAAATTATGAATGTACATTCCTGTATTAATATTATGTGTATTATAAAAATGTCTTTTAAAAGATATCCTTTTATCTTCAAAAAGGATAAAATAAAGAGAATAAAAGTTTAAGCTGTCTCTTTAGCCCTGAAAGCGTTACACTGTCAGTCAGTATCTCAAGATACAAGCACATTAGGTGTGATCCATCATTATTACAGTGTATAAAAATTCATCTTTCCATCTTAGAAATCCATTTCTTAATTGTCTTCAATGGAAGGGCTGATTTCTTACCTTACATGAGTAATGATCAGAGTTTTTACTGTGAAATCAGCCTGTGAAGTTTTTAAAGTGGACGTAAATGTTATCAGCTCTTCCATTCATTTCTTTCTTCTTTCTTGCTTTTTTTTTTCTTTTTTTTTTTTTTTTTTTTTTTACAGAGTTTCAGTCTTGTCATTCAGGCTGCAGTGCAATGGCACGATCTCGGCTCACCGCAACCTTTGCCTCCCAGGTCCAAGCGATTCTCCTGCCTCAGCCTCTCTAGTAGCTGGGATTACAGGCACCCACCACCACACCCAGCTAATTTTTAGTAAAGACAGAGTTTCACCATGTTGGTCAGGCTGGTTTCAAACTCCTGACCTCAAGTGATCTGAAAACCTCGGCCTCCCAAAGGGCTGGGATTGGAGACATGAACCACCATGCCCAGCCAGCTCTTCCGTTTCTTTCCTATTTGTTTGAGTTGCCATGATGAGTAAAATCCCTAATGTACAGTTTCTCTCTGAGAGGTTTAGTTCAGTTAAAACTATTTCACACAAGCTGAGAAACTTCACTTCGCCACTGCACCCTACGTTCCAGCC